TACATCCCTGGCCACATTTGCTTTATTTTTAATAACAGAGTAATACTCTGCTTTTACAAGAGAGTTTGTCATTCCACTCCCAGCCCTCAGTGTCAGCATTTACAGCAAACATTTTCTTCTTTCAGAAAGCCAGGCATTTAAGACAAAGAGACTGAGAGAGGAAGGAAGGAAATGCTAAATGGATATGGCTTATTGACATCCACCAGATGGCATTGCAAAATATTATACCTATTGTTGGGTTTTTTTTTCTTTGCCTGCTCTAAATACACATGCAAAAGTGTTTTTCCTGCCAAGGGTCTTAACTAGTAAATATGAAAGTTTTAGACTTGAGATCTGAGTCAGAATAGTTGACTTAAGGCTGTAAACCATCAATCCTATAACACACAGTCTCTTTTTCAGTTCAATGATTCCTTAAACAGATGATAGAGATTTGGAACTGAATTTACAGGCTGTGTACACAGACATACAGCTAGAACTTGCTAAGGTTCTAAGTATAAGACTTAGTTATGGTAAGTGAACAGCTATTCCTGCCTTTCTTACCACAGAGAGACTGAAGACTTAAGGAGAACTATCAGGTCCCTATTGTAACTGATATTTAAATCTGAACTATCATGGCATCTTACTTATAGTCCTATATGCAAAGACAAACAGTGCAAGTCTTTGAAAAACTTTAGTTTGCACTCGGGCAAGAGACTATCTAAAACCTGTAACATGGTCTGCCACTCATAGGGATTAAAGAACAGAGTCATATTTAATTGTCTTTTCCTGAACTATAAATGTTGGCAATTTCCCACCAAATATCCCCAGAGCAAACATATCCTTTTTACAAATACAAGTTGAGTCACCTTCCTGGTAAATCTGTATACAGTACAGGGGAATAATCAAAGTGGTAAACTCACTCCTGCTCACCCTGTCTTCCCCTCAGCCCTCATTCCTTGTGGTGTTTAGGGGGCCACTCTGCTGGGTGGAATTGCTGAATTTGTTTCAAAGGAAGCCCAGTTCTGAAGCCTACACTTAGCTGGACTCCCTCAGGGCAAGCTGGAAGTTTTAGGATCACCAGAACAGACTCATCTAAAGGCAAGATCCCTCTGCTTGAAAAACAACCTCAGGGTAAAGACATTTGTAAATTCTAAGACTACTTTTGGCATCAATTCTAAGTTCTGGAATCTTTTTCTTGAAAAAAGTTTTTCATTTGGGCAATTTTAAACAAAAAAGTAGAGATACTAATACAGTGAAACACTGCTTGCCCTCCCTCCTCTAGCTTCAACAATTTTAACTAGGTCTACAAATGCAGTATTCGAGTGGTGTATTTCCTAAGTCCCTTCTATATAAATTTTTTGAGGCTCCTCAGCTATCTGAAAGAGGAGCTAATTCCCAAAGAAGCAGAAAGGGAAAATGGGAAGCTTTGATACAATGGTTTTTTCATCATCCTAGGAAATATACAAGTATATAAATGAAGAGAGAGAAGGAGAGAGAGAGAGAGAGAGAGAGAGAGAGAGAGAGAGAGAGATATTATTCTTTTGTCTACTGGCCCAACAGACCTTGGGGCCAACTCCACATTTGCTACCTGTGGTTCCATTATGTGAGTCCTCGATCACCCTCTATCTCCCCTTTTTCCTAATTGGTTTTTAGTTGTACCAAAAAAGTCCTCAGCAAACTCTTTCACGAAGCAGAGTATAGGGCATCTTTCTTAGGGACCAACACATATGATGCCTTTTCAGAATCAGCATCAATCAGGGAGAGAACTCACTTGGTATAAGCTTGGTTTTACTTTAGAGAACTCAGTCATGATTTGGCTATAATACCTCACCTCTCACAACTTCTCTTACTGGGGAATAAAGCAATAATAATATAAAATAATCTCCTTATGGTGTCACAAAAAATCAGCCTCTGTAGTCCTTTCAGAGTAGACAGAGAAATTTACCTCTCTTCTCTAGGACTTTTTAAAGGGGAAAGTACAAATTATGAGTGTAAACGCACTTTCTGTGAGAACAACTTCAAAATATTAAAGGGCTGGTGGAGAGACCGCCAAACATTTTAAACACACTAATTTACAAGTAACTGGCATACTAATTACAAAGCACTTCTGTCTAGTCAATAAAAGGAGGCTAAATTATAACTCTCAGTCCGACTGAGTTTCTTCATTGTTCCAAAGGTCACAAAACAAAGTTCTTTCAAAAACAATTTGCTTCATTCTTTTAATCACTTCAGACTGTATATCCTCCCATTAAATCCACCAGGGCAACTTTGAGGAGCAAATGTCTTACTGGTCCTGCTCTCATCTTTTAATTCTCTTCTCTCTTCTGGTGTCCATGCTACCTCCCTTTCTTGCATGTTAGCATCTCCATCACGGAAATGGGAAGAAAAGGGAGAGGTAAAGGCCAAATTTAATATTAATGACAACTCTGGAGAAGAGTTTTAATGTTGTAGATGGAAACAGAAAAATTGCATATGTGATTTTAAAATATCATCTTAGGATTTCATTTATGTGTGCCAATATACTAGGTAGTCATACATAGATGTATAAGCAAACATGAAATTTATAGTTAATGGGTTAGGGTCCCTGTTCTATAATTCAATCTACTCACTGAATCTTAAACAAGCTGTTTAACCTCTCTGATTCTTACTTTCTAATCTGAAGAACAGAGATATTATTTCTATTTAATTACTTTTAAAAATTGACAATTGTATATACTTACGGGGTACAAGTGCTATTTTGATTTATACATACAATGTAGGAAGAATAGAACAAGATAATTACATATCCATTACTTTATCAATTTTTTTTTGCTTTTGCTGGTGGTAAGAATGATAAAAATCTATTCTTTTAGCAACTGTAAAATATGTAATACATCATCATTAACTGTGGTCACCATGCAGTACAATAAATTGCTAAAACTTAGTCCTCCAGACTAATAAAACTTTGTATCTCGCGATCAGTATTTCTTTCCCCTACCTCCAGTGACTTTGGTAACTACCTTTCTACTCTCTATTTCTATGAAATACTTTTTTTAGATTCCATATATGTGAGACATTCATTTTTAATTTAATTCTTTTGAGATAGAGTCTCATTATTTTGTCCAGGCTGGCCTTGAACTCCTGGGCTCAGCTGATTCTCTTGTCTTGGCCTCCTGAGTGGCTGGGACTACAGGTGCTTGCCATTGTACCTGGCTTAATTTATTTTTAATCTGCTTCATTCAGAAGATTTGAAGCTGTAACAAAACTGTGAATAAAATAAGAAGATGAGAAAACCAATGCGGTTAGAAGATATGGATAAGCCCAGAAAAAGAAAGGCAGAGTAACTTCAGAGTGCCAGAAAGTAACGTTTGATAGAGGTGCGCAAAAATGTGACATGTGGTAAGGAAACCAGAGAGTCAATGACAAGATGTGTGCAGTCTGCAACCTATGACTGTCCCAGTGGAAGCACAGTTCTTTGAGGGCTTTGGGACACTTTTTCCTTAGCTCCCTTTCGAGGCAGGCTGCTGGGTGATGAGCAAGCCAATGTCCTCCACAGTATTCCCACAGTGATGTCACAGCTCCTGATTGCTGTCTCCCCTACTGTCCTCTTGGCTGACCAATAGTGAGTCAAGTAAGCAAATGCAATTCCCAGGGGTGGGGGTTACACAGGGGTGAAAATCAGGTTCCCAAACTGTTCTGCTGAATCTGAGGACCAAATCTCAAATATTTTGATCAGTAGAGATATGGCATATATTTTATGCAAACTTTCCACCTTTTTTTTTGGTAACTGGACCTTTAATAAAATTTTGGGAGTAGAGCAAGAGCAGTAGTCTGTTCTGCTCAGTAGTCTGTTCAGAAGGGAAGCCTTAGAGCCTTACATGAAGTATGAGGACCCTAAAGAGACACAGGACTTAGACAAATGGTCATTCCTCATCCTATGCAAAGTGCCCCAGCAAGTGACCATAGGCAGAATCTAAGTCAGCAAATTGTTCTGGGTCATTTTCAATAAATAAAGAGGTGGACAAGGAAGACCCCAAAGTTCCACACACTGGGAGATGGCTGTGGCTATCTTAGCCTGGGATATTTTCAATCAGGTTTCTCCAGCTACTCTTTGGGTCCATTAAAAACAATCTTAACAAAACACTAAAGAACATCAAGGTTTAAGTAATATGTGCCTCCGTAGATCAGCTGCAAAATGTACCCTCAAGTAAATGGATGGCTTGACTTTTTATAGACAAATCAGTGATAAATATCTGTAAAATTTTATTTTCAAAGTTCTACAAAGTGGACATAATATTCTACAACTTCTCTATATTATACATTTTATGACATCTAATCACCTAATAAAAGTGCTACACTACTAAATCATAAATTTTACCCACACTGAATGCTACCAGTAATCAATATTCACACTTTAATTATTATTGCTTTTATTTGTCTTAGAATTTATAAGAATTTGGCAAAATTAGTTTAGTTTTTCCAAGTTTCTTTAAAAGGATCTCAACCTTTATATAAGTGGGATTACTGTATAAAGACCCTTGAAATGTTTTGAGGATTGAATAAGTTAATCTCTGTGAACATGTTTTATAAAGTGCTATGAAAAATCTTAGTTCTTATGTTTATCAGAATCTCATCTGTATGATATTCAACAATTGGTTCTGCTATGACATGTTTGTCTTTGGGACAATAAACAGCCCCAGCAATCACACATGAAGCATCCTGACATCAAATGCTGTGCTACAGTGATAATGAACAACAAAACCTTCCCCGGGATTCTGTGTCTTCACTGAAACTCTCCAGTTTGGAGAGTGTGGCACTCACCTTGTCCACGGATGGGTACAGAGCAAAGAGCTCGGCCTGCCGATTGGTCCTCCGGGCCTCCTCGTTCTGCTTCTCAAAGTCCTCGGAGCTCACGCTTTGCAGCAGGTTTTCGAGCCGTTGGTCGGGCTGCAGGCTTCGGAGGTCGAAGTCGAAAGCAGTGAAGGGGCCTTTCCCAGACACGTCACACAGCACGTTTAAGCGGCAGGGGCCTGTCTGTGAGAGAAGACCATGGGCCTTTGTGAGAGAGACAGAGTATGCAGAGATGAGAACTAAAGACTCTGTGATGTTTCAAGACGTCTACTCCAGCTTGGATCCATAGGGTCTCTGGCCTCAAGGAGTTTTCTGTGTAAACCGGGGCTTTGCTAACCATGGTGGCTTCCGGGCTGGGGTGTCCTAAAATGAAACGGCTCCTTCCCACCTGGAAGCAGGTAGGCACTCATCAGATACAGACAAATCAGTCCTGAAAAAGGGTTTGAAAAGAGCACTGTGCTGCTGTTAGTTGATAGCTTGTTCTTTTTTGGAGAGTGGGAGCTAAGTCTCTCAGGAATTTCATGCTCAAACACTCGAATTTCATGCTCAAACAAACCCGAGGTGGGATACAGGGTAATAAAAGGAAAATGGACTGGGAAACAAATGACTGTGTCCCAGTCTTGACTCCAGAATCTGGTTTTTGAAACTGTAAGATAAGGTGATCTCTGAGGAACCTTCCAAAATAAACTACCTAAAGCTGAATGTCATGTTTCCAGAGACAAAGATGTGGGCGAAAGAATTTGCAGTGTCCACTGATAGCTTCAGTGAGTGTGAAAAAAATAGTCTTAAACCAGTCACAAAGTAGATGCTTTATTCCATTAGGAATGTCTTAGTAATTGGGAACCACATGGCTAACCAAAGACTCGGCAAAGAACAGATTTAGTATAGCTGGGGCATGGGGCACGCCTAGAGCCCTGCTACTTGGGAAGCTGAGGAAGGAGCAGCTTGAACAGCTTTCTGGGTATTCTGATGAAACTCCAGTTTGAGACATGGCCCTAGGCCCCAGCTATAGGGAGTGGTTTGCCATTCCCTGAAGTTATCATTTCGGTATAGCCTCTATTTCCCCTTTTTGGTTCTCTCAGACCTTCAAACCCGTTTAATCACTTCCTGAATTGTCTTCTCCAGAAATACTTAGTGCACCTTCTATCTGACTAATACAAGGAACAATTTAGTTGTTCATAACATAGGGTGAAAACTGAATTTAGTCAAAATTACCAATGAAAAAGCCCTAACTCTCCCATGGAGCACAGTAAAGAGGTCTTCACATGCCTCAGTAAGTCTGCCATATTCAGCATCAAAACTGATAGGTAGTTCCTCTTTGGAGATCCTACTAAGTAGCCAGCTTGGCTTTAGGGACTATGTTGTTTGAAAATGAGGTATTATTTTTAAAGTTCTAATAATATTCAACATGCTATGATGCTTGTGCTATGAAGGCACATGAAAGCTAAAAACTATACTAGTTTAGTTTATACTTGTTTAGAAGAAGACCTGTATAAATTTGGACAAATTTCCTCTCTGCTATTTAGTTTTCTTACCAATCAAATAAGCAGAATGGACTAGAGCACTGACTTTTAAAAAATTTGATTGTGGTAAAATATTTGTAGCATAAAATGTATTGTCTTAACTATTTTTCAGAGGGGTTAAGTACATTCATATTGTAGTACAATATCACTAACACCCATCTCCATTAACTCTTTTCATTCTGCAAACTGCAACTCTGTGCCCATTAAACAATAACTCTCTAATCTTTTCTATACCCCTGCCAACTACATTTTGTTTAGCCCTCCATCTACTGTAGATGCTTGAGACACTTCTATCTTTTAGTTATTGTGAGTAATGCTGTTGTGAACAGGGCGTATATAGAGCTGATTTTTAAACTGTAATCACTTTATAATAATATAACAATGACAACAATAACAGTATTCAGCATCTATTGGGCATTAACTGTCATTGGCATTGTTCTAAATCTTTACATATAATAACTCAGTTCATACTCAAATAACCTCAAGAGCTAGTACAATCATCCTTTTTCTAGGGGAGGAAACTAAAGCCCAGATAGTTTAGTTATTCTGCTTGAGGTTATACAGTTCTTGTGTGGTAGAATCAGTAAGAGAATCCCAGCAGTCTGGGATGAAGCTCTTTTAGGGTGAAGCTCTTTGTGTGTGTGTGTGTGTGTGTGTGTGTGTGTGTGTGTGTGTGTGTTTTGGTACCAGATATTGAACTCAGGACCTTGTGCTTGCAAGGCAGGCGGCACCACTAAGCTAAATCCCCTACCCAGGGTGAAACTCTTAACCACACTCCAGTCTGCCTTCAGGAACCATCATGCCTCTCCAAGAACTGCTGTAGGGATGGGCCCAAGGTGTCCCCCTACCTCTATGAGAGCCTCCCCATTTTTATCTATTTTAATCATTGAGCTTTGAGGTTTTCTTTTGAATACTGATTTCTGAAGCTACAAACAAATTTAAAAAAATTTATCACTGACTCAGATGGTAGAGCTCCTCCTACTCAATTATTCTGAGTCTTAATTTCATTCCAGTTTTTTAAAAAATTGATAGCACACCCTGGGCAAAGCAGGCCTGTAACCTGGTAACCACATTTGTTGATAGGAAATACCTGAGCAACGGGTTCAGCACACTCCAACGTTTCTGACTCAAAGGTCTGTTTCTGAAGTGTCTTGTGAAAATCTTTTCGAGATCCAGTCTTTTTAAAGCCGCCAATCTCTGAACTTCCTTGGTTTCTTTTATCATTGATATTATATAATTTGGAGAAGAAGAGGGAGGGAGAGAGAGGGAGAGAAAGGCAAAGTCATTAGATTAAAAATAAAAGTAATAGCCTAAGTGTAGACTTGGTGCTGAAAGAGCTTCCAAAGAGAGGACCAATTGTAATTCCTCACATCTAATTAAGCCCCAGGCCTAACACAAGACTCTGTTGTAACGAGATACAAGCATGCCTCCTGGCTGGCTCATTATTAAAGGCAGGAATGGCCTGGGAAAATGCCACCGCAGAGGTGCGGTCATTTCAGCTGTGGGATACTTGGCTCTAAGCTGAAGCTAAACTATGACCTTAGTAGAAGAGGCTGGAATAAATCTAGCAATGTGCACAAGCGGCAAATAAAGATCATTTGAAGATAAAAATAGAGAAAACTATTTCATCTCCACATCAATGTTTCTAATAATAACGAATTTAAAAAAGCAGGACATAGTTGAGAAAAAAATTAAAATGTTTTATCTACTGAAATCCACTGCTAACAGCTAACATTCTCAATCTCCACTGTATGGATTCTATTAAAACTGTGTTTTAAAAATGTGTAGCTATGGAAAGAATTTTAAATAGAATGGTTAGCACTGTCACTGGAGAAATGAGACCATCATGAGAAAGGGAACAGATATAAGTTGTCAAGTCATACCTAGAGAAACCGTGTGTATTCCCCATTTTTGTGACTTAAGGGACTTTTGGAAAAGATGCTACAAAATCCACAAACATGGCTCGTGATTTCTGGACTATTAGAAAAACTATTGAGCAAGTTGGTAAAGGGACATGCAATGAGGTTAGAATGTAAGACAGAGAAAAGGCAGACAGACAAAGCAGAAAATGTAGGAAAGCTACAAGTAGTGATCCAAATACAGAGTTTATCACTCTTTGGGTGGGAGGAGTACTGGAGGAAAGAGTGGCACACACACTGCAGATATGAATACATTTTAGTTCACTGAATTAATTAAAGAAAGGATGAGATGTTCTAGTGTCATCTATAGAAGAGTAGCACTCTCCCTGGATTTTATTGTGCTCTGAAGACAAGCGAATTGTTTTAAACAAAAGGAGCCAAGAAATAGTCTAAAAAAGATGCCAGATCAACTTGGTGACTAATTCAAGTGAGGCTAATGTAACTGTCCATCTTCAGTCTCCTGGTGGCTTGAACTGGTCTGACCCAATGTGTACTGAGACAGCTGGGTGAAAAACAGGCCAAATTAGGGAATTGAAAGAAAAATAAAAAAATGGATATGATATACTCTAAATAATTAAAAAATAGATCTAAACATTTAAAAGACATTTCAGTGGGGCTGGGGATTTAGCTCAGTGGTTTCGCCACCTGCTGCACAAGCGCAAGGACCCGAGTTCGATCCCTGGTACCAAAAAAATAACATAAAATAAAATAAAAGACATTTCAAGAAAAATATCCAAAATAACTTCTGGCTTGAGATTCCTAAACAGCAGCAAAACAAGCCAAAATTAAAATATAAATCATATTATTCAAAAACATTGATTGAAAAGTATTTTGAAGACCCTTTCAAATAATTCCTCAGAAGTAAAAACTAAAATGTTTATTTAAATTATTTTTCAAATTTTTATTAGTACATGTTTGCAGTACATAGTGATTCTATTCATTGTGGGGAGCGGGTACATGTACATAACACATCGTAATTCTTTCTACTTCTCCTGCTTCTCCCTTCCCTTCCCCTTCCCTCCATTATTCTGGTTCTAGGTGTTCTACATGTACAAAGGGCAGCAGTCACTATGGTAATGAAAGGGAGTACTGCAGATGTACATGTGATTTATTCTAGAAGATTTACTTTCTTTTAGCAGAATTCTTTGAAAGAAAGTCTAGACATGGCATTTCATAAATTAGCTAGCTTCTTGAAAATTATTCTCATACACATACATTTAGACAGCAAGATGTATGACCATGTGCTGGTGGGCTACTTTTCTAGGGCATAAAACAACTGCTTGTGGGCTGTCCCTAAGAGCTCAAAGAAAAAAGCTATGTGTAATCTAATATCTTGGGGGAGAAAAATAAGCTGCAAATAGTGGCAAATACAGGCAAATAAGGAGTTGTTTCCTACAATTATACTACCCCAAATAACAACACACTGAATCAGTGATTTTTTTTTTCTGAAAAATCCAATTTCAACGGGAAAATTAATAAATTAGTATTAGTTTATTCTGAGGGCAAAAGTAAATAGTGAATTGAAATTCAAATTTCCCACTTTGGTGTTTGCCATTTCTCTTGTTTAGGACCATCCACTCCAAAGGATACTAATGTCAATTGTTCAATACCCTAGACCCTTTTTTACAAGGAAACCTTTTAAAGTCATACAAATAAACTTCAGGAAGCAACTGAGTTAAAGGATTTGTGTGGCAGCCGCAGCAATCAGAACTATATTTGCTTTAGCTTTTTGTTTTGTCTCATAAAATGTATCAATTTCCAAGAGTGTTTACCTACATACACACACACACACACACACACACACACACACACACACAGATACACAATTATGAATGTGTGTTGGGCACTGTGTTGCACCTGTAATCCCAGCACCCTCAGAGGCTGAGGCAGGAGGATCATAGCCTGGGCAACTAAACAAGCCTGTCTCTAAAACAAAACATAACAAAAAGGCTGGGT